GATCTATGGTAGAACCTTTCATATTGTGGCGCCGTACTTCACGATGTGCATGACTTTCCCATTATAAGGCGTCTAACTTAATATACCGCGTCTAATGACCAGGGCCCAAACGTGACTCATTCTAAGCGTAAGTCACGCCGATCACCCCTCCCCACCCCAACCCCACTCCATCACAGGTGCCGGCGGCTGTCCCCACGCGGGGCCCCAGCTGTGGCCGCACCGGGCCTCTCGCCGCGCCGTGCGCCGGGAACTCGGTGGCACCGGTCAGCCCGGTTAGAAAGTCGCGGTGGAACCGGCCCGGCCCGGTCGGAGAAAGCGCTGTGGCCTGTGAACGGGCCGCCGTCACGGGCCGCGGGCCCGGCCAGATCGCCCGGCGGCCGGCCGGCCAACTGCGCCGCAGCCGTCACGGCCGGGACGGCAGGGCAGTGGCCAGAGGCAGGCGATCGAGCTGAACGGGACAGCTGTCCGTCTGTTTATGCACCTGGACAAGAACGATAATAAATTTGTGCGTAAACTATGAACGCAACTTTTTGCGCTAACTTGATATTCTATCCCTTCCAAAAGGCCAATATTCGACTCTTGAATCAAAAAGCTGCACATGCCAGCAGCCATATGAACTGAACTTCGCACTAAGCAAAACACCCGAGCATTATCACTGGCTCCGACGCTCGGGGGCCCAGGTATTGTGGTGAAATGCTGAACACTCCATCCATGGTAGGATTATGCAAGACGTTACCAGGCAGTGCCACGAAGGTGGTGCAAGCTGCGGGCCACGTTCTCTCCCAGCGGGTCGACCGGTGACGAAATTGGAGCGCGACGAAACGTTAGATAGACCGCGTGCACAAACCACAGCTTGGCAGACCTTTAGCTAAATAAAAACCTGACATACCGGAAGTTCATTACACTGAAATTAATAGATTTTAGGAAAACTCAGTGTTAGTCAGCCATATATTTCTTAATTCCTTCTTAACATTTTTTTAAATTTAATTCTAGAGGTATGCCCCATTGATAATCTTTTAACACACATACGCCTCTAAGAGAAACCCTATATGGAACTATCATTAATCAGAACATTGCACACCTTCCTATGTATTAATGCTAAATGATCACAAATCTGTCCCTCTGGTGACCTGCTTGCAGCAAATGAAGGGTGAAGTGATTTTTTTTAGAAAATGTTCATCCATTCACTTTTCAAGGCTTAAAATCATATAAACTAGGTAAGTGCTGAGTGCTACCTCTGCAGCATTGTGATGTGCCAGGCCAGCATCAAGCTAGTATGCCAATGTGCCATAATATTCTGCCAGCAATCACATGTTTTGGAAACACTCACCACTGCAGCAGCTGTTTTTAGGATTAATGTGCATGAGTAATGACCTGATATAAAAAAGCAACTCAAGCAAGAACCAGCAAGAACATAATGAGGGGGAGCTGAAAAATTCAGGGAGAGATACATTTCATTTTCCTTTGAAAGTATTTGGCTCCATTGGGAGCCTTAGGCCAAGAAGGCATACTTTTGTTGAGTGGGCAGTAATGGAGTGAACAATAAGAGCAGGGAACATCATTGAGAACCAGCCAGGAAGCATACAATTGTGACTTATCCTCTACCAGGTTACCAAACTCCTCAGTGGAATGGATCTGCCTAACAATCTCAACCAGACTTACTGCAGTAAATAGCAATATTGCATTCACACGTTTATATGTAAACATTTGGGTACTAAGTGAGCTGTGAAGTGTTAAGTGAGTCTTGAATTGATTGATTACCACATTGCCAAGTCCATAGCCACATATAGAAACATTTCACAGCTCTGGACCCAATCATTATCAATATACCTACCCATCATGCCTACCTATTCTTTTGCAAATATGCCTTACAATGCAATGCCTATTTTGAATTTGGAATACCACTTGAGCCTAAAGCACTTAGATTTCTGCAAAATTATTTGCTTTATTTCATGCAAATACAGAATTTGTGATGCTCCTTCAGCTTTTAAGTGCAAAAACAAATAGGCATATTCTTCTTTATTGCCATGACAGCAAAGAAGGGATTTTTTTTTTGAAGATAAGGTTGTTGATAAATAACAAGGCAGCACATTACTCACAAAAGAAATTTTTGGCAAAGGATGAAGCAATAACTAATGGAAGCCAGCAGCATTTGGCATTGAATTATATCAATTGTATTGCTGCTTAGGGCCTCCTCAACTTGTTATTTAATTAAGCACCAAAGCCCAATTTTTAGGTTGCTCCTGGAAAAACCATTGAAAATAGTAGGTAATTTTTCACCTGCACTCTTGCCTCCTCACAAAACATCATTACAAGCAGCCCTACAAATTAAGCCAACAATTTAAACAGCACTGAAACAAACAGACAGCCATTGTTTCAGCCTAAATTCAGCATGGTAAAGTGACAGTTTTATGACACATTGTGACAAATGTGCTTATTGATATAGCCACATAATAGCAATGCAGAGCAGTATCCGCATAAGCCACAATAAGCAGCATTATTCCAAATCCATAAAAAGAACAGTTTGACTTACCGTCAGCCGACTGCTGGAAGTTCACGTAGGCGTAGCCGAGGGAACGACGGGTGATCATGTCCCTGCAAACTCGGATGGACAGGACAGGGCCAGCAGTCGAGAACTTCTCAAAGAGCATGGCTTCAGTTACGTCCGGATGGAGATCCCCGACGTACAGGGACGCCATGGGATAGTTTGGGCCGGCCGAATTCATGGTTTGATGACTTGGTTCGGAGCTACACCACAATTATGTTTAAGGGTTTTATTTTCTGATTTTTTTGTATTTTTTAGCACAATATGGGTAGGCGAAGTGCGCGAGAACACACGTCCCGCGCCACAGACGCCTTCGACACACAGAGGAACAAAATGAAGGAGAGAGAGCTCGGACTTAGGGCTTCCATATCCAGCAGCGGTGTAATCTGGTAGCATTTGGCCTAAGACCTTGGCGGTTTTCACCATGCTTTTATATTTTAGAAATGCAACTTTTGATTAAGTTCCCAACATTTTGCATTTGTTATTTCTCATTGTTTGAAATTTCTTAGATTTGGATCTATTTTGTGAATAAAATGGCAGAACACTTTTTGTCAATTAGTATTTTTCAACGGAAAGCGGGTTTGACACTATAAAACTTCGAGGTCTAACTTTAGCCTAGTTTCAAGGTTTTAATTGATTGTAATGGTATCTTAGAGCAATGACAATGTTTAAATATTTCAACGAAGCTTGATTGCACAAAATTATGCTAATGAAAGTGATTATAATCAGACACCGTCTCCTGTTCATCAGGCTTGGCGCACCCTTGGCCTTTTCAGTGGTGCGCTATCGCCCCCCTGAAGGGCCTCCTCCCTCTTCCGACACGTGGTGCTCCGGGCTCCGGCGGCATGTGGCGCGCAAGGCCGTATGTGGCGCGTAGATTGTGACCCGCGGGTCGGACTCATACGTCAAAGGGCGAGTTCAAGGGGGTCCCCGGCGAAGTCTGTCGGGCGCAATGCAGGACCGGCAAGGGGCATTTGGGGGAGGGATGAGCACCCGTGACCCATTCGGACACAGTTATAACCGATGACTCACAAGTCACACTACTCGTGTGACATGGGGATTTCAGTCCACGGTCCCAAGGCGAGGCGACGAACTCCTGGCGCCCTTCCCATCCAATCCGAAAAGCGACACTGGTCGCACAGGTCGTACCGGCGATCCCGGGTTGCGTCATACTGCTGTCTCTCCCGATCAGGCGGAACAATAAAGAATTACGCAGTTATTCGACAACTGAACACGTTTATTTCCTCACTCCACGGAACAAATGGGCATTTCAATCACTAGCCGCCAAATTACGAGATCAATCGTCCGGTCATGGGTACGAAAGCTAGCTCTTTGCGTGCTGTGCAAGCAGTATCCAAGCCTTATCCACCGCCACCGCACTCGGCTCAGCCGGACTCTCCAGATGACGTCACCAGGAAAGCCATGACGTCACTGACTCGTTTCCATTGGCGGTGAGTCTGAAAAGGCAGCGAGAAAAGGTGAAGGTCACACACAGTTCAGGTGGCGCTTTAAAACCTTCGGAACCCGGCCAGCCCGGCAGGCCCGCTTCTCTCCGGAGAAGGGCCTTGCCGGGCTGGGGTGGCCAAGGGGATGGCCGGCCATCCCGCGACCGGGCGGGGTGGTAAGGAGCAGAGGTGGAGATATCGGGGGGGGGGGGGGTCGGGGATCGGGGGGGGGTCAGGATTCCCCCTGAAAACGAATTACTGCTAAGTAAGTCAATGGTACTGCATCCAGCCCGCCTCAATCTGCCCGGCCTGGACCCCCCTGACATTTTGACAGATCTCCACCCCTGGTAAGGAGGGGGGGGGGGGGGCGTACGACGACCTTTCATCTGCCACTAACATCCATGGTCCCTACAGCCTACAGGCTACGATTTTTTTTTTCATTTCATCCGGCGTCCACCTACCTACACACAAACCCGCCACCTCTCCCATCCCCACCCCTCCCCAGCCATCCCTTCCGTTTACCTACCGTCATACACATTGTCTTCATCCAGCCAGTGAGGGTTGCACTCGTCGGAACAGGCCTCGGCAGCCAGCAGGTCCACCGCGTTCGGGGCGGTCAGCCAGTCGTCTGTCCCGTCGGCCGCAGAGCCGCCGTGCTCCAGGCCGTGCTCCGAGCCGTGCTGTCGGTCGAACCGCCCGCCGTAGACCGGGTGATGACGCGATCCATAGTCCCCGTCTGACTCGTCATCGTACGGTGGCCGTGTGTGGCACTCTGTGCCAAACGGGGGAACGTCGGGATGGAGCCCGGGCCGCCGATGACGGCTACAGGGAACGGTGGGCTCTCGTCGGAGGACGTCGGAAGGGAAGGCCGCTGTGGGCGGCGAAGGCGGCCGAGGCAACGACAGGAAGCCCGGGCCGGTTAGGTCTTGGTTGTTCATAGGTGCCATACCATCTACGCAGAAGTCACTGTCGAGGAAAGGGTACAGGATTGATAAGATTTGATGCTAAAGTCACTGAGAAATGCTGATTGCTGAATGAATATAAATATTCGCACAATTTAGCGGCAATGTAAAATCGTAAACAACCAATGTTAACCCAAACATAGGAATATTTATTCAGATAATCCAGAGAACAAATAGACAGAAAAACAACAGCCCACATACGGTGAGTTCAGTTCATAATCTGATGTAAAGCTACTGACAGACTTATCAGGAAACGTGACCGTCTGTCACCGTTCTCAGTGCTGACGGACACCACGCAGGCCGTCCGGCTGCTACCCACCCCGGTGTCGCTGTCGTCTGTTTCGGCTGTTGTAGGTGGCGCTGCAGGGCTGCCAGGACCCTGACCGGCAGCTCTGGCATGATCTGAACGAGCCGTCCGAGCGGAGCAGCGCGCAGCTGCTGCAGCCCTCCGGCCCGCCGGAGCAGGAGGCCCGCAGAGACGGCGTTACACGCCGGCAGCTGCAGCAGAAGCCACTCGTCCTCTGTGCACTGGGCGTCGGCGGAGGGCTGGAAGTCGTCTGACCGTCCGTCACCCGCCGATCCCGCCTGGCGGACAGATAAGGGCGGCTGGATGTAGGTACTTTCATATTGATAACGGAGGGGGACACGACGTGCTCATAACTCAGCCCGCGGGTGGTTACAACAAAAGGGCTTCAGCACAACACATGATGTACATAAGTCAGTTCACAGTTGATATTACTTTGGAAATTATTACACGGATTCGTTCTCCATTTGCGATTTCTACTTGCTCGTTAAAGCTATGACTGTCGATGAAAAGCAGAATAAATACATTCCTCTGCAGACTGCAGTCTGCAGCCATGAAATGGAACCTTCCTTTCCACAATCCACGACATTTTACATGTGCATACTACATAGGCAGCAATTTGGTCGATATATTGTTGGGGAATGTCACGATAATCTCCAAAAATTCCGATTTACCGGGGCAGGTATACTCGGCATATCTAAAACGATTTCGTTCCTGGCTAGCCAACTGTCATTTTATATAACTATTCTATTTTTACCTAACTATAAGAGGCGCATTTCTGAAGTCTCTCCTTGACCCACAGAGATACTTGTTGGGATATCCCACACAAATCCCATCTAAGAAGAGAAATGTCAGGACGCTCCGGTTGCCCTCGGGATGTCCCTACCGGCAGCGCGGGGAAGGATGGGATATTCGGGACGCCTTACGCCCGTACAGTGTCACATTTCCAGATACCGCCCCAATCTCAATCGAGGGTTGCACTGTGTGCAGAAATCCCGGGTGGGATGTGTGCACTGTGTGCAGAAATCCCGGGTGGGATCGAGTGGGACTATCTGGCTGGGCAAAAAGGTCGTTTATCGGTTTTGTCCTTATCATAAACATTCATAAGGAATCCGAAAGAAACACGAATGCCAGCTACGGTCGATCGACCGACAGCAACAACAACGGCGTATTAGCACTCGCGAATTGATACAGCGCAATTAAAAGTGGCTAATCAAAAGACTTCTTCGTGATAGGTTGCGCTAATGGAATACAAAGAAATTTTTTTGAAAATGCATGGATCTTTGTGTTGGGGATGGGATAGCTACGAATGGTTGCGACGGTTCAACAGCCAATTCAGGGTTGTGAGCAACGGTAAATGTTCGTCATCGCGGGCCCCACTCACAGTGATTGACATACCAGAACTGAAATGGCTCAGTTTTTATTGCCGTATATGAAATATGAATAGCATGCCATTTGAGCCTGAAATAAAGTACAAAAGGTTAAGCATGTAGTGACATTCCATGTACTCAGTACTCAGAGCTCGTACTCAGAGCAACTATGCTTTATTAAAAGTTATTGTCACGCTAATAAAGAACCCGCGCCAGAATGTCGCCGCCCATCCGATAACTGTCACAAACAAACACATGAACAGTACATAATGTGGCGGCCCGTGTTTGCATTTATCGACAACAAACAGAACTGAACAAACGATTAAACTACACAGTAAGCTTGTGGCATAGTCCCATTCATCAACGAAATTGATAGGGTGCATAGGTCCAGGCTGAGTGTGCCATAATAATAGTGGAACTACGCACAATCACTTATCACAATGTCGACTCGCAGACCACACAGTACCCTCTCTCTTTCTTCACCATATTCTCCCTCTTCAGCCTCAGCATACTGCCTCGAAAAAGTAAAACGCCTCTGCTCAAAGTCCTAAACCTCCTGCCTCCCAGAAAACCCTCTCGTGTTCCCCTCCTCTCTCCCTCCCATCCTTGCCTCTCTCCCTCCCCGCCCGTCTCACCGTCTCGCTGGTCTGCTGCACGATATCCAGGACGATGTGCACCACGCTGTCCTGATCGGCACGCACCAGGCGCAGCGTATACTCGGGAAGGTGAGCGGCGGAGGCCAGCAGGGCCCGCAGCCGACCCACCACCGCCTCCTCCCGCCTGCCGAGATAGAGGCATAGAGACTTAGAGACACAGAGACTTAGAGACACAGAGACTTAGAGACACAGACACTTAGAGACACAGAGACTTAGAGACACAGAGACTTAGAGACACAGAGACTTAGAGACACAGAGACTTAGAGACACAGAGACTTAGAGACACAGAGACTTAGAGACACAGAGACTTAGAGACACAGAGACTTGGAGACACAGAGACTTAGAGACACAGAGACTTCGATACACAGAGACTTAGAGACACAGAGACTTAGAGACACAGAGACTTAGAGACACAAAGCAGAGACTTAGAGACACAGAGACTTCGATACACAGAGACTTAGAGACACAGAGACTTAGAGACACAGAGACTTAGAGACATAAAGACTTAGAGACACAGAGACTTAGAGACATAAAGACTTAGAGACACAGAGACTTAGAGACTCAGAGACTTAGAGACACAGAGACTTAGAGACACAGAGACTTAGAGACACAGAGACTTAGAGACACAGAGACTTAGAGACACAGAGACTTAGAGACACAGAGACTTAGAGACACAGAGACTTAGAGACACAGAGACTTAGAGACATAAAGACTTAGAGACACAGAGACTTAGAGACACAGAGACTTAGAGACATAAAGACTTAGAGACTTAGACACACAGAGACTTAGAGACACAGATACTTAGAGACACAGAGACTTAGAGACACAGAGACTTAGAGACATAAAGACTTCGCGACATGGAGACATAGACCTAGAGACAAATAGAGAAGCCTGCGGAGACACATCAGAGAAAACCATAGACGGCAGGGAGACACTGACGGTTAGTGGTGAGTCTCTGAGTCAGACGCAGACAGAAACAGGACGGACAGAGGCGGTACGAGCACAGACGAAGAGAACCGGCGAGTCTCTGAGTCAGACGCAGACAGAAACAGGACGGACAGAGGCGGCATGACCAGCGCTTAGTCCGGAATCGAAGTCAGAACAGGACTCTCAGCCATCTTCTGGATCTCGTACCTAAGTGTATGGTGCGCGCTGTGGAGGTTAGTTGAGTGGTGGGCAGTTGGCATTGCGAGCAAAAAGGCGATTAGAGGACCCCGGAATATTGCAATGTAGTTCATTTATTTGACATGAGCATTGGGCATGTCTACTGCAATGAAAAACGTCAAAAATGTAACTAGTTATGCTAGTCGAAGCTCCCTTTTAACCAGACAACGTAGTTGCCAATCTGCAAAATGGCGATGTTCGGTCAAGAATAACCCTGCCTGTGCCATTATGTATACATGTACTATCCAGCGCGGTTTGTCGCTTCACTGAAGGCTATATCAGAACTGCGTCACGATGCAGCTGATAAGGAGCCGGGGCCGGTGAACACGGGCCACAGTCTGGCCACAATGCGCTGTCGTGCCACCATGATCAGGCAAGCCGTGAGTGAATTACAACGAACGCTGGTAGGTGATCACCATAAACACCATCAACATTCGCAGCTGTTTATTAGGCTCATGCGACTCTCAAATCGAGGACACATATGAAAGAGTTTGCACAAAGCGTTTCGCTTAAAAAGTTAAGCCGAGGCACCGTTGCACGCACTTAACGAAAATATGCCACTTTTAACATGGGGCTTTGAACTGGAATAGCAGTTATGTAGCTTGAGCTGAGACTAGCACAAATCGGGAGCTTTTACGGCCCAACGATCACCTTAAGTAGATATTCCATTTCTCGTTCCGAAAAGATTGCCTTGTGCAAGCATGTTTCACTTGTAGAAGAATGTCAAGAATTCCAGCCAGCAATTTGGTTTGCCTGAAGTCTTTTTTGCCCCTGCAACTCCAATATGCCAGATTTGCGCCGGTGTAAACGGAGCGCCGTCGGAACAGGGGATTTGGGTCGATATGATGGCTTCATTTCGGTTTGCCAGTCTTTGCCCTGGCGCTTCGGAGTTTGGATGGTTTCGGACTGCCAAGTCCGGCTCAAATCCGGCCCACTGCCACGGCTCAAGTCCGGCTCCCTAAAAAAAATACATTTCAACTCATAAGGCTGTACTCACGGCTTCTATGCCTTTATCATTTTCCGCGGTAAAAAGTGACTGCATCCGAAAAAAAATGCTTACCGATTACCATTTAATCGCCGCATTGAAGCATGCCCTCATTTCCAGAAGTTCATATTTAGTGCACGCAGTGCATCGAGTCGCCATGCAGTGATGGTTAACTGAATATTTGATACCATGCGCGGTAACGACCGTGGCGGCGGGGCAGGGCCGGGTCAGGCCGCACGGCTGCGCCCATTCCACCGGTAATTAACCCACCGGTAACGCTGCCTGGCAGCGGTCCGCACTGAAAGCCACGGCGCCGCGGCTGTCGTGGGGCACACACACGACTTACCGGCACCGGTTAATCACCGACATTCACGCAGCGGGGTGCACCGCCGACAAATGCCCCCGGGGCACGCGGTCGGCCGGCCCGGACCCGTGTCTCGACGGGCGGTCAACACGGGTCAGGGCGGTCAATAGTAGCGGGTCAACCACGGGTCAACAGAGGTCGCACGAGCGGTAGCAGCGGGTCAGCCGGTCGATATTAGCGGGTCAACGCGGGTTAGATAGATGGTCGATAGTAGCGGGTTAACACGAGGTCAGACGATCGATTTAAGGTCAGTTCACGTCAGACTCAAGTTTTAGCGGGCCATCAGAGACCAAACGGACGATATTAGCGGATCGGCACGAGTCAGTCAGTCAAAACTAAGAAAAAATATACGCTAGGCAACGTCCCCAAAGGGAGAGTGAGGATTAACTGGGCCAGCTGAGTGCGTGAAGTCTGACAACCGTGCTGTGCTTGTCACTGACATCTAACCCGGAGTCGGCGTCTCAAACCGATGACAATGACATAATATATCACTGACCTAGTGTCAGTGCCAATGTCACTGACCTGGTGTCGGTATCGGCGGCGGCGGCGGCGCGGCGGCGGCCCACCACCACCAGCCAGCAGAGCGCCGCCTGTTGCTGCAGAGCGCGCACCTCCGCCGCCAGCCGCTGGCCGTCCGAGGGGGACGCCAGGTCGGCCAGGGAGCGCACCAGCAGACAGGAGTCGGCGGCCAGCACCAGATCGGGGAACGGGCCGGCAGAGAGCCCGACCAGCCGGCTGGGGACGCAGCATCCCCCGGGTCAGAGCTGATGTCGACTCGGACCGGGTCAGATGAGGGGCATAGTGCTGCGCCACCCGATTACATCTCTGGATATGGGGCCTTCCCTTCCACCCACCTGTAGTGTCTGGGTACCTCCCTTTCCACCTGGAATCCCTGGATCCCTTGCCTGCTCTACTATAGTCTCTGAATCCCTCTCCTTTCTACCTGTAATCCATGGATTCCTTCCATATCCCTGTAGTCTCTAGATCCCTCCCCTACCCACCTGTAATCTCTGACGTGGGCGGTGACAGTGTGACCGGAGAGCTCCTCCAGACGCCGCAGACCCCAGCGTTCGGCAGCAGAAGCACAGGCCACCACCGAGACCGGCTGGCCGGCCGGCGGGGGTCCGGGCGGCGGCGGTGCAGGGGGAGGGGAGACGAGCACTGAGGAAGGGGAGACAGTCGTGAGACGGGTGTAGGTAGAGGAAGCGCAGGACAGTGAGTATGGAAAGAAGCCAATGGTTGAATTTCATACAACAGCGGTGGTTTAAGGTTTCTTTGCGCGATGTAAGTATATATGTATGTACAGCTATAGCCTATATAGGTGTGTGCCTACTCGTAAGTCATGATCCTTGAGCACTATTGCCGCCCGCGTCATTAATGCGTAAAAAATGTATGTATAAGTGGATGACTACAGAAGGACGTGCCGCCCTTAGAGGTTGTGCAGTGCGCACTGTTCAGTGTGCAATTTATCACGCAGGTCAAATGAGACACTCTAGTCTCTGTGCCTCCAAGGTCACCACAAGCACGGCTTAACCAAGGTATATTGAATTGAGGCGCTGAACTGCATGATAAGCGACACAGTCTAGTCTACTTCAGCTAACTGATGACTTGTGGCGTTGGCGTTATGCAGTGATCCATGCATACATAACGCAAAGACATCCAACTATCAACGGACAAACAAAATATGGTCAGTACCGGCATCAGGAATTAGCATAGATGCCATCACAATCGGCCAGACAAATAGTTATTTCTCACGGTGAATTACCAACAGTAAACCATATAAGATCGCGCTTAACAGCACTGCTATCACAAAATTACTAATATTTTGTTAACTGCGCTACAAAAACTTCAAGTTCGGCTTACCGACCATTTTACCAAACAGTCATAAATAATAGACACAGTCATGCATAATAGATGCGTGTGGACTGGAATCGTTTCCGTGACGGGGCGCCCAGTGAACGTCGCAGGCACGGTAGGTGCCGGCCGCACGTGTGGCCAACGCAAAGAGGGTATGGTAGGACGCTATAAAGCGAGGTGGAAGTGACAGGACAGAGCTAAACGTGACTAACGCTAGTTTAGAAATGACGCCGGTAGGCCACCTTAGAATGAATTGTAAAGCCCTCTGCCAACTGCGTGGTGTGGTGGGTATTCTTTTTTCGACAAAACCGAGAATAACGCGGAAACTATGCTATCGGTCACCCGGAAATCGTAACAGCAAGACGCGTGAGACTCCGCACCTTGGATTGGCATTACCATATCGTATTCATTTTCCATCCAGTTTGGCAACAACACCCTAAAGTTCATATTCGCCCCGAAAACAAACTTTTGCATTTTGCTGCCACACAAGGCATATACTTTGTTTAGTGAAATACCCAATCGAAGGAGTGGAGCCTTTATTTGCAGTGAGTTCCGACCGACTGAAAACACAGTCTGAGTTATTTCCGGTTTTGTCGAAAAAAAAGAATACCTACCACGCAGTCTGCTGAGGGCTGTACATGAATAGAATGCGCATAGACTGCGACTGTCGACCGACCAGCACCCGTGGCTGATTAATCGGGGTCCTCACGGATCCTGTGACACATGGCAACGACAAGGCCCTATATGGCGACACGAGCAAAATAAATGGTAAAGCTCGCACACATACATTTGTCGATCGCAAACGCGTTGCGTGGGAGGGTGTGCCCAAGTATAAGCGATACAACGAGCGCGGACTTATTTGTGATACGACCCGCTATGTCGGAAAATGACCAAAATAGTCCAGTGCGGCTTTTGTTCCTTTCTTCAGCCGACCAATGGTGTGAATTGCTGGATAGATTGTCACCGGTTCCCCATACATTCCGCTCATATAGAGCTATAGCATTCGTTGTATCACCTTTGTTTTAGTTGCGTCACATGGTACCGGAACGCCAGACCTATCCATTGATATCATACCTTGGTCACGAATAGCACATCACCAGGCAGCGTATCAGTCATAATGTGGCGACGATGAGGGGGCCGACAAAAAGGACGAGCTATTGGAAACTGACGATTTGAAAGGAAATGGGAATGTCTCCTTGTCCCTTATCGGTTCATTCGTCATGAAAACTATACGCTACGATGGCAGAATAAGGGTCAAAGAATTTCATATTCACAATGGCCTGTGCTTGCTCGAATGATATACCATTACCAACTGGTTACGAAGCTGGAAGCATGTATTCGCAGGTCAAATCACAAAAAAATGGGTTCATCTCACTTTGACAGGACTTTTTATAAAGCATAGCAAGTAGTACAGCGTAACTTGTTTGAATCTAACTAGGTCATTCGGACAACAGACAGATATACGTCACTCGTAGCCCGTAGGCTTCGACAAAAAGCGGCAAAGACACGCAGATAGGCAAATAATGGTTGCTAACTGCACTCCTTTTCGTCATTTTACACAGCATCAGCGACCAGGCTAGAAGCGCCTATTGCTACGCCCCAGCTCCTGCTGAACGTTTCCACGACCGAAAGAACCTGCAAGTTTGTCTTGGAATCGGCAATAGCGTTGTCACCTATGGTTTCCTGCCTCCTGGAATGTCAAAGCATAACGGGTGCCGTTTCTGTACAGTGGCATACCGAATGCCGCTTTTAAACCGTCGATTTTCATGCATTAATTTGTTTTGGCGGGTTTGGCTCTTTCCGCAATAAGGTGACTACTAAAGAGTCAGAGTCAAACGATCAAATGATGAGAGGGCGTCGTGATGAGAAAAAAAAACTTAACCAATGCAAACGCACAATCAGTCACAATTAAAAACCGAAATTCGTACCAATCGGACCACTGCTGAACACACGTACGCTGCTGCACCACGTATACGAGTAGGTGAAGCTCTGCTTTGAAGGCCGATCTCGTATGAGGAATTTGAATAATGTTAACATTGACGATAGCTAACCACGCTTGAGGCGATAAGGACAAAACATTGTAGCTGCACAACGGCTCCTTCTCGCCGCGTGCCCTACGCCGTGCGTCTGTCCCTGTCCGAGACACCGAGCGTCTCATTCGCGTGTCTCGTTCCAGTGTTTCACCGGGTGCCTGTGTCCCTCGGCCTCCTCGCCGATTTTCTCTGCCGGGTGTCTCAGTCCTCCCCCCTCCCTGCTGTATCCCTCAGTGTCTCACCGTGTCTCTCCGGGTGTCTCAGCGCCTCCCAGTCGGGCCTCACGGGCAGACAGCGGACAGCCACTGAGGAGGCACGGCACCGCTGTACCAGTGGACCAGCGGCAGCGGGAGGCAGCAGCGGCACGAGCAGCGCGCAGCGGGACAGCGGCCAGCGCGTCGGCACCTCAGCGCCGCAGCTCAGCACCAGCACGGCGCGCTGACGCAGCCTGACCGGTCACAGGTCAGCAGAGGGGCCCGGTCAGGTCGGTTAAGACTCTTATACTTGAACATATAACACAGCGACATGTCCGCTAGAAGGTAATAAAACAACGATCAATTCACAAATAAAACGGCATGTTAAAAACAGGAAACATTACTAGAATATTCTGTCCAGCTCCAGTGTAATTAAACATCACCCCACAACTTCCACCACCCTTCTTATCAGCGGTAACTACAACTGTACCATGTCATCCATCACAGCTCTGCGGTTCCTGCCCGCTGCCGTGTAACCTAGCATGACCCGTGAGTTATGGGCCGCTGTGAGTAATAACCCAGCTGTGAGTTATGGGCTAATGCATGGCACACTAAAACATGGTCCGCTCGCAGTTTGGCACTTGACTGTCGCCTGGTGACGTTCACACTTTTGTTTTATTTCGTCCCAATGTAGGCTGGGAGGTGATTAAGATTAGATCGGCCAACTACACAAAGTGCCATTTTGCATAAATAATCGTCACACTAAAGAGCGTATGGTCATTCCGTAAGGCCGTTTAAAGTGTGGCACTTACAGTAAAGCGTCAAACGCTTTCCGACGAACTATTCGCCTGACGCTAGGATAAGCAGCATGCCTAACCCACCGGCCACCGACCCTTCGTCTAAGACGGTGCCGACACACTTAGCCAATACACCCATGCGAGCTATTACTCCCGTAGCCTGAGTAAAAAGAACATTTGATGTTAACTCACGCCTCATTCAGCCGCTGCTGGGGCTCATCAGCGGTCAGCAAGACGTGCCGGACCCCGGGTACCTCAGTCAGAGCTGAGCTGAGCTCCTCGGCCAGCTCAGGAAGCTGTTCTGTCACTACCAGCACCGGACCCTGTCAGGACAGGAGCGGGGCGGAACGGGACGTTGACGGGAAGACGGGACACGTTGACGGGACGGTAAGACGGAACGGGTCGGGTATTGCGATGGAAAAGGTAAAGAACAGGGAAAAGGGACGGAAATGGGACGGAAGAAAGGGATTGCGATGAGACGGGAGGAGAGGAAAAGTGGAACGGAACTGGGACGGATTGAGGGGAAGGGACTGAACGGAGATGAGACGAGACCAGGTGAAACGAGACTGGATGGGTAAATGAAATTGAATAGGATGCTATGGGACGGGAAAAGAAGGGAACTCGGAAACTCAGTACTGGATAATGAAGTCCACCTCATTTTCTTGGGAGGGCACATAATGTTGCACATTCAGTAGAGTGTACAGCGATCATCGATGGCACAAGAGCCACAGAGTACAAAACCTATCGAAAGCGCGTCTATCTAGGAAGCGATAGAGCACCCACCGCGCCAACAGTACATGGATAGAGCGGTACAACATCCCTAATGCCAAAGGAACAAGGAATATATGAGGAAGCTCATGATTCGTTTCTAGTGACACACCCTTATGTGTCATATGCATTACGGGACGGCACCCACCGGTAGTGAGTCCACGTGCAGCTCAGTCAGCAGGGCCAGTAACGCGGCGACGCGCGGGTGGCGGGCGGAGCGGCCGGCCAGTGTCGACTCCAGGTCACCAATCACCGCGTCCAGGCAGCCTGCCAGACCACAGTCACACAGTGACAGCCACAGCACACAGGTGGAGTCGGACACTGACCGAGTAACGAGACATTCCAGTGTCCAGACAGCCTGCGCGGCCACAGCATACGGCGGGAAGTCGGACACTGATCAGGCAGCGAGACATCTGGAGACAGTCTGAGGGACCACACACAGGCGGTTAGAGGTCCCACGCAGACGGAGTAACGAGACTCTGAGTCTAGACAGCCCGTGGGACCATAGTACAGCGGGGAGTCAGACACTGACCGAGCAAGGATATATCCAGGCAGCTATTTCAATATATTGTTTGGGATATGCATCCTTAAAACCGCGAGTTCTTAGGAGGAGAGCAAAGTATAACATTGAAAAACAGATTTTATTTCGTTTGAGCTGAGCCTTGCTGGAAAATCAATTCACCATAAATTTTCATATTAGGGGTGGAAATACGAGCGCTATTGAAACAATGGTTGGAAGTCACGCATACCGAGCACGAAAACGGCAAACACTGCAACCGTGACACTGCCGTAAACGCAACGGTAACCGAGTGAAACTGAGGTAACTGAGGCATTGGCACAGCGAAAAAAAAATATTGGCTGTGTCTTAACCCTCGCCCGCACATGCCATTTTCCCATCCTAGAACGCACATGGGGGGGGGGGTGGTTGCCACCCCCCCCCGCGCCATTTCGTTCCTGTTGGAGATAGAGCTTAGCAGTAAAGACCAAAAAGATTCTTTGGGAAGAGACGAATCCAATGATACCCAGTTTTAACTTCTCAGGTCAGTCATTGACCTTCCAGGTCAGGTCAAACTAAAAAATGTTGCTGTTTTGGGTCACCGTTGGATATCAAGTGTGCTGCTTATCAAATACCGATGACGATGCTGTTTTCTGGTGCCAAGCCAGCTAGAACCTCTTTGTCACACTGCCCGACCAGAATTTTGCTGCTGAGGTCATTTCAGGTCAAGTTAGGTCAAGGTCAATTACATGTGTTTGTATGTCTGTGTGTGTCTGTGTGTATACTGATGTGTGCACCGATTGTTTTTGGGTCCATATTACATGAAATCATGATCTGAGAAGCTTTTACCAAAAATGCAGTCAAAAAACTTCAAAAAAAAGTAAATTCAGCTTGCCTAAAACGCAATTATCTTAGATGACCTAGGTTGACCTTGACCCTGACCTTGACCCCTGTACATCGTCGAACAACATGTTCCATGATAGGTGGGAGGTAAGACTGGCAAAAAAGGCCGAAATCAGGGTGTCAAAAGCTCATAAGGCCCATGGCAAACGCAAGATGTTGAGAATTGGCCATTTGGGTCATGACATGACCTGAAAAACAAGGTCATATCTCCGAAACCAAAAATCACAGAAACTTGAAATTTTCAGTGGACATCAAGAAAGGATAGAGGAGCAGCTATACGAAAAATCAGCCTTCTAGCTCTAAAAATGTTGAGTGCAGAGTCGAAAGACTACCTGGGGGGGTGGCAACCACCCCCCCCCCCCCATGTGCGGGCGAGGGTTAAAACTAAAACCCCATTATTCGCTTATCAAACAGAATAGCATTAAACAAAGTGAGATAAAATAATAAACGTTAACAACACTGCATCTAATATGGCTACATTATGCGTACTGAGTAGGCGGGTATGTGATCCTGCAAAAGCGCATAGCGCACAAAGCGAAGTATCGCCTGGGCTTACTCTAAAAGCTGCAATTGTGCAGCTTATGTGACGTAGCGCACTGCATTGCAATGCATCGAATATACCTACCAAGCTCTGTAGTTTGCCGATGGTTCGAGAAAGCTTGCATATCGAGATTGCGCCCTGTGTCTGCCCAATCCAAGCTATATAGTTTCCAGTGGCGGGGATGTATGGCTCACCAATCTTCAAAACACGCCATTCATTGGTATTTTTCGAAATAATAGGAATTTTACCAACCATCGACGATGAACGATATGCCCCGGTTACTTAAGTACAACGGCCCCGGCTCACATGTTAGGGGGCGCGCAGTCATGAAGGTCAGGTGTCATGTCACATCAGGTAGGCGCTATTACACCGCTCGGCCGTGCCGCACCCACCAAGCCCAGGAATTTAGTGGGCCTGATGACATACATTGTATGCAGCCCCCGGAATGTTAGGTAGGTAAATATCACCACCACCTCGTGGTAATCCCTCACAGCTAGCCCTGCAGTATTCACCTTCATTCCGCAGTACATACGTACACCACCTGCCGTCAGCACCCCCCCCCCCCCCACACCGACCCAGCAGTATATGCGGTAATCCCTCACTCTGTAGTAACCACTAACCAACCACCTTCAATCCGCAGTACGTACACCACCCGGCACCCGCCGTCAGCATCCCCCCCCCCCCTCCATCCACCCAGCATTATATGTAAGACGCCTATCCTTACGCAGCAAATACCCCAAACCTGCCCGGCGGCAGTCAGCATACCAATGTGCAATACATTACTTCCACCCAATACATTACTTCCACATTGCAATACATTATCAACCCCTGTAGAAAAACGTCCCGATACACTACAGGGCACACTCTTCCTTCGGTATGACATCGCAATACTTACTATCCTCGTCATGCATCATGCACTTAACGGCTCATTACTCACTACTCAGCTCATGATTGTCATTTGGCAAACTATTATCACCTCCACAACATACAGCCACTAGCATTCCGTAAAACATCCTCACCCTGTAGTATAAGGATGAATAGTGAATACCCAGCTCATTACCATGCAGTGTGGTTTACTCACCCTGCAGTGTTGGGCTGAGTTACTCAGCCTGAATAGTGAATACACAGCTCAGAACCATGCAGTGAGGTTTACTCACCCTGCAGTATGTCGGCGTGCGTGCGGCTGAAGATGCGCAGCTGCCGGAGACCGCAGACGGCGGAGAGGTGGGCGGTCATGTCGCGGGCCTTGGCCAGGCCGTGAACGGCGAGCGTGTGTCGGTACTGGCGCAGCAGGCCCTGGCGCTCTGCAAGGAACAGACAGCGTGTATCAGTACAGGCCCTGACGCTCTATCAGGGAATGCCTGTACGGCGCGAGTCAGCTACCTTTGTTTATACTTTTGAGAGTTTATAGTTCTGATGGACTATGGAGCACGATTACTGGTACACATAAAGCAATACATTGCTACACAATTCCAACTATGTAATTCGAAAACGTCATGCTTCAAGACGTTGAAAAAAGCATACAACGCCCATAATAAAAAGTCAGCAAGCAATTTGTTAAAATTTTGAAGCAAAAAATCAAATAAGAAAATTCCTCAAAAGTTTCTGAGAATTATGACGTTTTTATCGTAACTGCATCTACAATCTTATAGCATGTGAAAGCGGTGAGTGCTAGAAACATAATCCTTAACCCTCGCCCGTATAGGGGGGGGGGGGGTCGAACGGACCCCCCTCTCGGTTTTTCGCGAATAACTCGCGTAAAAAGCGGCTGATCGCGACGAAACTTTCAGTTCCCTCGCGTTAATCAATTTTACACCTACTCTGAAATTTGTATGACCCTGACCCTAATGACCTTTGACCTGTGACCTACTTTTCGAGACCATGTTTGGCCGGAATCGCGATTCGGCGTATGTCGGCTCGCATTAGCCGCGTTTGCAAGCTTTTCGTGGTTTTAAGCGTTCAAACATGGGATATGATGTTGCTCCCATGCATGAGGGAGGGTGTCAAGGTCACCGGAAGGTCAAGTCAGGTCATTAACCTTGGATGACCTCGGTTCACTTTTTCGAGTTTTACATGTTGCTAGGCCAGTTTTTGGAGCTGAATTCGTATTTAGCAACCATATAAACATTTACGAAGTAGTTTTGGTGCCTTCGTAACATGTTAAGAAGCTTTCAGAGGCGGATGCCACCTACTACGAATACCCTTACTGGTTGACCTGACCTGACCCGACCTAGCCTAAATGCATGAAGACATCATCTGTGATCAAAACTAACAGGATATTCGTGATCAGCACCCCGAAAAACCCATAGCAGCCACGCTTTACGACTTTCTAACAGGTCCCGATTTTTCCGACTTTTGGGTCATTGACCTGACCTGAAAGGTCAACCGATGACCTAAGACCTTAAACTTGGGTAGCATTGGCTTCCTCTCGTCACGGGCAACACGCTCGTTTTTTCCGCGAAGCTCTAGCTCGATCAGGGGCGAAACGGCAAGGGGGGTCCAACGGACCCCCCCCTTATTCGTTCGCGGCTGGAAAGACACCAATACGGGCGAGGGTTAACTCTAATTGCCGATTAGTTCCTAGACCAAATAGACGGCTTTATTGTTGTACGATTGCCCACTCGAGCCAATGACCCCAGCTAGTAAGTGGGTGCAGCTTCAGACCGCTAATCACCGCCCTAAGTGTCCGGCCCGGTCCTTGCCGTCTTGCACCGCCCGGCGACTCCGCCGTGGCAGCGGAGACATACGTACCCAATGAGCTGAGGGACTCGTTGACCTGGCTGCACATCTCCTTCAGCAGGCGGCGGCTGTTGTCCGGCTCCAGCAGCGCGAACGGCACGTCCAGCCGGAGAGGGTGCAAGAGCTCGTCGCCCCGCTCCACCAGACAGGCCAGGCAGCGCAGCGTCAGCTCTGTGGGGAAGGGGGCAAACAGCGTGATACCACCTCACCAGACAGGCCAGGCAGCGCAGCGTCAGCTCTGTGGGGGAGGGGGGAGGGGGGGACAGCGTGATACCACCCCACCAGACAGGCCAGAAGCGCAGCGTCAGCTCTGGGGGGGGGGGGGGGCAGACAGCGTGACATCTCGCCCCGCTCTACCAGATAGGTCGGACCATTACAAGGTAAGATCAGGTAAGACAGGTCAGGTCAAACAAGTCCCTACACAGGTCAGCTCAGGTCACCAAAAAAGTTTGAGCAAATCCCCTGACAAGTCAGGTCAAATCACCTGACTGGCCCAAAAGCAGTGTAAAGTCAGCTGACGGTCGTCAACAATCAAATGGCACGGTGATTGCGCTACGAAGACAGAACCACCGTTAGACCATTTGGCAGCCATTTCACACGTTGACAGGCATGTGTACGGCTCTCCAGTAAAAGTCTTGTTGGTTTTGCTTTTTCGGACATATCTGGTCCTATATAATGTTCAAATGCATAAGTATCAACCCGAATTATGTGTATGCACATTTACCACGAGACTGTGAAATTGCATCGTTGTATGCCAAATACTTTCCGAGATATTCACCAAAAACCTCATTTTCTGCCGTTTGGGGTATTCTGGCCGCAATCTTCCTGGGATCGCCTATGACATCAGTAGAGCCATCTAACGAGAGGAACGCAGAAACACAGAATCATGAATGAATCGAGCGCGTAGTAAACGGTGTATGAAAGGGAGACTCGGCAGAGGCTATCCGGGTGGCCGGCGCGCGGCGCGCCCTTAGGCATCGGCCGACCCTTCGGACCGCGTGGGGTCAGAGGTCGCGCTCGGGAAGTCTCGGCTCTGGGTTTAAGCGCTGTGCAGTCAGGAAGGGAGGATAGGATAGCGCTAGCCCGACTGACTAGTGTCTCGGCTGATTCGTGTGGGGTGGAAGGGGGCACAGAACGGGATGGTGGCTAGTGGTGGATGATGGGATGGTGGTTAGGTTAGTGCGTACTGCGTAGAACGTAGAGCTGAACATGCATTGTTTTTTTCATGGCAAACAACATGCAGCATAATGTGCGGGATTATGCCAGAACTCATACAAAAGGGTAATAATATTTCGGCCGAGGGAGTGGATCAGTGCCATGACAAAGCATGACGATGCTGCCAAAATCGGGATGCTTTTTTGCCCCCCATTTTTTACCCCTAACATGCAGCGCTTAATCCGAACTTAAAGGTCCCCGACTGACCTTAGACCTTAAAATCGCACCTATCCGGTGCGCCACCTTTTCTTCAGGGGCGCTCTTCTTGGTTGTATCTGTTCTTACCAATAACTAAAGCAAATCGAATGTATAATAAAAAGGCATACCTCGAACACAGTTTTATTCACACCCGCTCGTGTGCATACTTGTTTTGACCTATACCTTCTCGCATCATAATATTACTTCAGTGCTTAACCCTCAACGGAATTTTGGGTTTTCTGCATACGAGTATACCCCGGCCGAGGGGGGGGGGGGGTGTGATTGCGACCACTCTCCGTCTTTTTGCCCCTAATTGAGCTAGCGCCTTGCGGACAAAACTGAGCGCGTGCGTCGTATGAGATGCAGCAACTGGTACCCGATTTGAATGTCTCGGGTCAACCGATTAACTCTGAGGTCAGCTCAAAGTCGCGGGATCGGTTTTTGGTAAACAACTTCACCACTTAAGTGGTTACAGAGCCAACATTATGGCACCATCGAGTTTTGCATGCTCAACTCCAAGCGCGTCGAATAGTATACGCTTTGTTTTCGTTTAGGTCAATTTAAGGCATGTTCACATCAGGTCATGGTCAGGGCAGAGCCACTCAGGCCACGAAGCTGGCCCAAGGAGGTCATATATGTAGCTTCTTCGATTCGGTAGGTCCTCACAAGTCCACTGGTGGCTTCCCGACTCGCTAGCTCAATTTCATCGGGACTTTTTGGTGAAAACTCCTGTGACCTTAGTGACGTCATAAATGAAGTCGCCTAACTTTAAGAATGGAAAAGTGAATGCTGGGGCTTGCAAAGATTGTATAAAATCGCGAATTAATGCGCTTGAGACAGCTTTAGATGGCTCCTGGCGCCAAAATAACAGCTTTCATATTTCCCAACTGATCGATAATCGTGAGGTTGCGTGTCCGACCTGACTTCAGGTCACACTTAAGAAAAATACGAGATAGCTACATATAAGTTGTGAGGCCTCTGTGAGATAGTACTAGATCATATAAGCTTCATTCCCCGTTGCAAAGTCCCCTGGAACGAAGGGTGCTGCGACATCGCGACATTTTGGGACCTTACAGAGGTTCACTTTTGACGTCATTGGTCAACGGCCTGACCTTAAAGGGACCCTCCCACCTTAACATTAGATTTGAGTTGAGATAGCCAAAATGGGGTCCCTGGCTCACAATTACCGGTTTCGGCACTCACAACATCGAGAAATGCCTTAAATCGGAAATATTGAATTTCAAAATTGCAGCGTTCTGATTCAGAGGGGCTAATGCTTAGGAATACCCCTCTGAATGTGTGACGTCAGCGCAGATATCTAACGATTTTTAAATGTTTGACTAAAACGTTTTGTAGCACGCGGTGGTATATGCTGCTTTGCGCGCAACAAATGCCGCAAATTCAAATAAAGTCGCTAGGAACAGCGGAGATCCCAAAAAGTAAACAAAAGTAAAAGTCTAATATCTTGAAAACCGGTGAATATTTTTCGATGAAATTTGGTAGATATTTGTTTTTGCTCTTTCTGAACCGAGCGACATCACTTTCATGCCAATTCATTAACTTTTTTGAAGGTGGGAGGGTCCCTTTAAAGGAAAAGGGCCACCTTCGTGAAATATGAAGATATCGTTGTTTTTCATTTTGACATTATTATTTTTCATTTTCTTTTTAAAACTGGTGCCAGAAGTGCACAATTCGCGAAAAAGTATTTAAAACTATTTAACATATTGGTACTATGTTGATACTCTCTACGGCACCTACTGTATGATGGCATAGCGATGACGTCACACTCAAGCCAATCAGCGTTCAGAAGACAGACTCGTCGGATTGTGTCAGATAAGCTGATTGGTTAAAGCTGAGCTGGTTGGAGCTGATTGGTAAAAAGCCAAAGCCTCGCCGCGGGTGGCTGTATTGTCGGATAAGAACGCATTCCTTGGATAAGAACGCATTCCTGGCGTATTTTCTTTTAAAATTGCCGATATCTACGAATGGAGGCCGAAATCGGCCGTAAGGAGGTAAACTGATAGGTTTTCGGACACGGGCTACAAGATGGCTATCTCAGTTTCAATCCCCATGTTAAAGGTGGCCCTTTTCCTTTAACCTTCGCACTTGTAGGAGGGTGTCGAACAGCCCTCCTACCCTCAGTTTTTCGCAAATAACTCGCGCAAAAAGCGGCTGATTGCGACGACACTTTCAGCACCCTCGAGTTAATCAATGTTACGCCTACCCTGTAATTTATACCTATGACCCTGACTCAAAAGACCTTTGACTTGTGATTTGTTTTCCGAAACCATGTTTGGCCGGAATCGCGTTTTGGCGTATTTCGCGTAGAGCGCGTTTTATGTCTTTTTGTGGCTTTAAGCGATCAAACATGTGAAAGGATGTTGATCCCATGGATTCTAGTGGGTATCAAGGTCACGTGAAGGTCAGTCAGGTCACTGATCTTTGATGACTTTTGTTCACTCTTTCGAGTTCTACATGTTTCTACTTTCTAGGGTAGATTTTGGAGTTGATTTCGCATTTAGAAACCGTTTGAACATTTAAGAAGTAGTTTTGGTTCCCTCGTAACATGTGACCTGATGCACGAAAACATCATCTGTGATCAAAACTAACTTGAAATTTGTGATCAGCACCCCGCAAAACCCTATAACAGCTTCACTTTACGAAGCTCTAACAGGTCCCGTTGTTGTTGTTGTTCTGGGTTAGGGCGCTCTAACAGGTCCCGATTCCCCGACTTTTGAGTTATATTGACCTGTCAACCAATGACCTAGGACCTTGAAATTGGGTATCATCGGCCTCCTCTCGTCACGGGCAACACGCTCTTTTTTCCGCGAAGCGTTTGCTCGATCAAGGGCTGAACGGCAAAGGGGTCCAATGGACCCTCCTCCCCCCTTACGATAGACGCTGGCAAAACACCAATATGGGCGAGGATGAAAATACAGCTGCTGTCATAAAAATTCAGCTTAAATCAAAGGTCAGGCTTGCCAAATTTCAGCTTTCGCAGCTATCAACAAAAATAAACATGTGGAGGCGGCACCTCCCCCCCCCCCCCCCTCTCCTCTCGGCCACTGCCAGCGAGGTTTTAAGCGTATCATACACGTTACAAGGCATCATATATCAAGATGACACACCCCAGCAGCCATATGCACTGAACAAAAACTTATTACCCACGCTAGTCTATCGGCACCATAGCACATGGTCGAGACTGTCGTCAGCCACGGACGCGCACTCGACCAATCCTCTGAGCCCGTTGACTGCGGGTGACCTTGACATGTCAAGCCTGATCGGCGGCCGGCCGCTGTCGTGCGTCGTTACACGCGGAGGGGAGGGAGACACAACGCTCTGCGTTATAGTTGACCTCTGACCTTTCCCTGCGCCCTGGTCACTGACCCCGCTCCATGTCGCTGGGCGGTGGCATGGCGGTGGAAACCGGTTCTAGCCTCTACACATGCCACCATTCTAACCCTCCCCTCCCCACGCTACTACGCGGCGTGGAGTACGCTCGTGCGTAACTGGGCGGAGCAAGGGGTCACGCGATACAGGGGCGGAACTGGTTGCCCTCCCGCTCGCCGAGCGACCTACGACTAATACCCTGGAGAACCGTACGTAATGGGGCGTTGGCAGTCCGATTACTCGCTCACCCATTACCTACCGGCACGTGTTCATTGGGGCGCACAGCCGAGTGCAGGGTAAGCGATCAATGACAGGTTTGTTCATAACGACGCACTTGGAAGTCAATGGTGAGCCACACGTGCTCATTGCCGTCACACATTTAAGCTGTCATTTAAGCCGCCCATAAATCTTCTAGTGAACCGTGCGGACCTGCGTTTAATGCCGTGACTGGAAATGGAAACAAATAAACTTCTATAATAGCAAATAAATAACGATATTACGCCTGACAGTGTATGATCGCGGTAAGCATACGCTTTTAGGCTAAAAATTCAATCATTCCCGCGGTTGGACGCTCAGTAATTGTTTATGTGCAAGACGATGTTTATGAGCAATGAAAAAATAGATGTGCAAACAAAGCATCCACAAAAAAAAAAACAGGAGCGGTCTAGGAGCAGACAAGGCTTTCGCTAGCGGTGTTCCACTCACCGTCTAGCGGCACAGCCGTCTCCGCGTGGTCGTCTGGTGGTCGCTGAGTCTGTGTGAGCCCCGAGACAGCGCCCTGTCCCACTCCCGGCGGCTCCGCGGCCCTCGGAGTGCGTGCAGCCGCCCCTCGCCGCGGCTCCGGCAGCCCACAGCGGCTGAGCGCGCGGCTCAGCGCTACAGGGCCGCCGCGGGGCCGGCCGCCGCGGACCCGCCGGCCGGCCCGGCTCGTCAGCAGCGCACTCGGCAGCCCGCGCCGGGCAGACAGCGGGGTGCGCTCCGCGCGGCTCTGCACCCGCGCAGAGAGCGCCGCCAGGAAACTGTCGGCTGCCGTCAGCTGGGACGCCGCGGGCTCCGTGGCCGACGGCTGCGCTCCGGCGGTGACGCTGCAGCCGGTCTTATCACCTACAATGCCATGGGCGGTCGGCAGCTCGCTGCTAGGGTGTGCCGCCTTGACAGTCGTCTCGTAGTTTAGATAAGCTACTTTGGTTGGCGGCTCGTCACTCTCACAAGCCATCTTGACTGGTGGCTCGCCGTTCAGATGGGCCACTTTGGCTGGTTGCTCGTGGCTCAAATGAACCACCCTGGTTGTTTGCTCGCAGCCCAAAATGTGTGCCACTTGTCTCTCAGAGCTCATGAGCGCTGCTTTAGCCGCCGTCTCGCAACTCAGGTGTGTCACCTTGGCTGTCGGTATGCCGCTAAGATGAAACATTTTGGCTGGAGGTTCACCTCTGTCCGGACTGACCTCAGCGAGCCGCTCTCGGCTCGGCGGCGGCTCAGACTCTTTGGACACAGTGAGGGGCGAGAAAGGCTCCGACAAAACCGTTACAGAAAGCGGCGCAGCGCTCTCTCGTTTCGTGTCTGAACTATCACCTCCTTCCGGTAGGTCAGTTACTGACCCATGTCTCCCGACGGCCTTGCGCACTTCCCCTGATCCGCACTCTTGGTCCTCCTGCACAGGTGTGGCTCTCGTAACTGTCGACGCCAGAGGATCTTCAGACCCCGATGGAGGCAACGTCGGAGATCTCAGGGCGCCGTCCAGAGTCAGTTGACAGGAAGGACTGAAGATGCTCCGCGGGCCGGCGGTGTGGTGTGAGACTGGGACTGTCGGAGACCGGTGTGAAGGGACCTCCTCTTTCACCACTGCCGGCTTCAGTTCTCGCGGAGGGGTTGACACAATCGCTGCCGTCACGGATACGCCCGAGGTCGAGCATTCACGATCCCCTGACGCCGTCTCCACTCCCCCATCACCGCTGCCATCCTCCTGTGACACAGCGGAGCACGGCCGATGATCGGACGGCGCCTCACCGTCCCCTGACCGGTCCTCGCAGTCCCCTCCACCGAGCAGCGATACGTCGCAGCGCGAACTCTCCCGAGTACTGTCATTTCCATGAAGCACCACAGCCTCGCTCGTGAGGGCTTCCGACACGCCACTCGATGTTGAGAGCGGTCTTGATGATCCCTGGTCGCATCTCACCTCCGTCGTACAAATCGCAGAGTGGTGCTGCTCAGCTCCTTCCTTATGCCACCGGTCCGGCGCTAGAGGCGACTGCTGCTCCTGTGAAGCGCTCTCGGCCGGCATGATGTGATCTTCGGCAAGCTCTGAGCGGTCTACGTCCCCTCGATGGAAGCTGTCTGTACTGGCCGACTGCACGGGCGGTGGCCGTCCCTGGGATGGAACCGGCGAGAGTTGTCCGCAGCCGCCCGTCTCGGTGTCCACGACTTCGCCAGAGACGTCGGAGCGCGCAGCCATCGAATAATCTGTCATGATCGATGCCTCGGGAGCCTTCGGGAATATCGTTCTTTCTTCCAACTTTTGAATGGACGTTTCACTACGGGGCTGCACCGTGTCAGAACTCGGCGTTCGGTCAGCCTTCCTTACTACTTGGTGCAGGTCCGCCGTGTCAGAGCTCGTTGGTCTGTCAGACTCTCCTGCCGCCTCGGGTTGGTCGACGGAGGCGGCGCTCTGTGGGACAGTGGCCAAGCCCCGCTGATAATTATCGCCCACAGGTTTACCATCTGACGCCGGAGGACCGCGACCGTCCCTGTCATGAGCAGGCTCCAGACAGGCCACTTCGATAGGTGAAGACTTGGACTGGTGGGATTCCAGTGGTCTACTTCGACCGGGTGTCTCAGAGATGTCGACAGATTGGGCATTCGCAGCAATGTTATTCACCGTTTCAGTGGTATATGCGGTGACCTCACGACTTTCCGCTGGGCAATGCTGCGCGGCAGCCCTCTCATGAATACTCAGCACCACTTCTGAAGAAACCTCAACCGAGAGGAGCGACTTTGTAACTTGTTTTGAAGCGCAAGCGCCGCTCAGTGTGGACTCAGCCTGGTGGTGTTCTGCAGAGGTTTTATCGGCGTCACTCCGGACACCGTGCGGTGCAGAGGTAGTGTGTCGCTGTGAAGTGGGCTCCTGAGTTTGGCCCGCTGCCCTCCCCGGCTGCGTCAGCTGGCCGGCCGGTGGCTCGGGCGCGCCACTGGGCCCGCGCAGCTCGGTCAGCGTCAGGAGCTGCGGCAGCGGCAGTGGAGCCAGCTCGGGCTGCGGCAGCTCGATCGGCGCCCAGGGCGCGGCTGGCGGCGGCACCAGCGAGCTCTCCCATCCAGCCAGTTCTGAGTCTGACAACAGGCCACCACTCTCGTCCAGCAGCGGGTCCTGAAACAGAGCGACACCGAAAATGTGGCTCACAGTAATCACGGAATCAATTCCTTGTCCTTTGCCTACATCAGATCAACTACAAATTGTAGATGTTATCATAACGATCTGCGATAACTACCTACGACTTCCAGTACCAATAAAAAGGTGGGTACGTAAATGAACATATGCAACATGTACACGATGTACGTAAGTGAAGTTTAATATTATCGTCATACATTTTCTCAGTGCATCATTTCTTGACTTTAATAGGAAAGATGGTGCATAGATATGAAGGCATTAGGTAACAATTATCGTATGCAAAATAATAATTACAAGCGACACGTACAGGTGCGTGTACGTATCGCAGTATAACTACACATGCGTGCATGAAACCTGCAAGCCAACGACCTAGCCAGGGGTCCCGAATATTGAACGTGCTCAAGGCGACGGCCAAAACACTGCAGGCATGACTCTAAAGCTCCCGAGGGCAGCATATGCTACCGCTCAGCTCAGCAGCGACGGCGGTCTGATGATGTTTTGAATTTCGCTGACTGCATTGAACATGGTTCACTAGGGACAGTCTCCTGAGACGGGGCGGGGGAGCGGCCACGGGGCTGATTCGAACAGCGGTAAACCGGCGGCGAGGCGAGGTCACGACGGGGGTGACACGGGGGCGGGGCGGGGTGACCCAGGGGCGGGGCGGGGCGGGGTCACGGGGCGGGGACCCGGGCGGCGGGGCTGAGTCACACAGCGGTAACCCGGCGCGGCGGGGGGGTCACGGCGGTGGGGCGAGGTCACGGTGGGGGTGACATGGGGGCGGGGCGGGGTCACGCAGCGGAGGAGCGGGGTCAGGCGGTAGTGACCCAGCGGTGACCCGGCGGTGACCCGACACGCACCTGCAGGTCCCTGAGGGGCAGCTGGTCGGCGCGCGGCAGCGGCGGCAGCGGTAGCGGCCCAGTGTCGGTCGGCGGCAGCAGCGGACAGGGCAGCGTCAGCCGGCTGGGCAGCAGGCCGCCGTCCGGCTCCAGCTCCAACTCTGACAGCAGCTCGTCACCGGGCAGACTGGCGCGGCCGTCACCAGGGACCGGCTCCGCACTGTGGACGGCCGATGGCCGTCAGAGGGGAGCTGCAGCCTCTGTGTTGGCTAGTATTTCGAATCACACTTACGGAAATACACATGCACTGCTTCAGTTTCATCGGGTTTTACACGACGAAGGTAATTCGTACGCTGTCTTGTAAAATCTGTCTTCACGGAAATAAGCTCAAGCAAATTACCGAAACGATGAATAGTAAACATAATTCAGGCATGGCGGTGTCGTTGGTTCCCTTCACAGCAGGGTCGTAAAACAAGGCACGTGAAAAATAGTACCATAATGTTGCAAACCATTACACACAAAGGTGGCGAATACATGGGTTATACACATTACACATAACTCGCAACAATTGTTTGCAAGGCTCGCAAATCCACGGTCGTTACAAGCGGTGGTGTCGCCAGCATTTTCCATGCATTTCCACTATGCCCGCGACTTGACGCGAATGTGACGTGTACGTAGGTGTAAAGTATGATGGGCGTGACATGGCGCACCATTCCCCTCCCCCCGCCTCTTCCGTCCCCCAGTTCTTGACTCCCTTGGGCGTCAAAGTCACAAAGGTAGCCCGGGTAATCGCTGGATACATTGGGCACACGTACGCATACACCCCTTCCTCCACCCCCCACCCCCCCCCGTCCCCCAGCACCACTACACACACGCTATGGGTCTGTTCCAGTCGCACTTCCTAACACCTCTAAACTCCTCCAAGAGCAAGATAGAGGAGGTTGGAGCAGGACCCTCCTTGGCTTTGTAGGGGCTAGATCTGCCACTGGAACAGGGAAGCAATCTTGGAGTTTAGGGGTGTTAGGAAGTGCGACTGGAACAGACCCTATGACAACCAGTATTGGACCACCCCACGTGCCCACACACCGGCAGCATAAGAAATAAAGCGCTTAGCACGCACAGCCGCCTTCGCGTTACCCACAATTTACTGGGGGTAAATTTATTTTCGGTTCATAACAATGGCGGCATTGGTTCGTAAATTTTGGCGAATGACGAACAATGCCCAGAAATAAGCAAAGGATGTGATTAAAATATGACACTTGTCACTTACATAATACTTCATTACTTACACAGGCAAAAGAAACACAATACCAGAGCTCTGTACCGGTCGGGCCGGCAGCGGGCGGCGTTCTTACCGTTTCGGCGCCGACTCCAGTCTCAGTACGGCCCGGTCCACGTCTGCAGCCGTAGCAGCGCCGCCAGCCGCCGGCTCCACATGACACTCCATCCGCAGGCGGCGCAGCTCGGCTGACAGGCTGTCACCGGGCCTGACACAGCTCAGCCACGGCTGCCTGCACACAGAGGTTCATAGGGATCATGGAAGACTGAGGCCACCGAGGTAGACTGAGACTAAGTATTTACACACATAATGCACACAGACACACACAGACAGCACACACAAACATGCCGGGATAATAGCTGAGACCTGAGGCCTGAGGCCATCGCGACTCCACGCGCACATAGAAAGCAGAGACACATCGGGATCACAGTCGCCCAGAGACCACCTCCATCCTTCACACACACCACGCAGCGTGCAGACAAATCGGAAACAAACACAATAAATCACTGAAGCACACGTCCCGGCGCGGCGGTCGGTGACTCACCTGTCGGGCTGCGCAGGGCGTCTCAGCGGCCCGGACGTCGGCGGCAGCGGCGGCACGTCCAGCAGCAGCGAGCTCACCCAGCACTGGCGGCGCCGGTGTAATTCGGCAAACCAGTCGCGACCCGAGAAACCCAGTGCCGGCGAAAACAGCGCCCGCTCGGCGGCGCCGCGAGGGCTCATCCCAGCGGAGGACGGGTCCAGCTCAGAGGATCGCGGGTCCAGCTCAGTGGGGTAGTCCGTCTCGGCGGTGAAGGGCTCCATTTCCTAGTGGCGTTATTCAGCAGGGCTTTATCCGGCAAACAATGAGGCCCAGTAGTTTTCCAAAGCGATCCTGTAGAAGACATACAATACCTTACATCTTGAACTGGTTGCTATAAATGAAGCTCGAATGTTTACATGGACGGATTGACAGAGCTGAGGCCCATGCTTATCAGAGCTTATTGCGCAGACTCATATCCCCCGGATCGGGCTATTCCGGGTAACGGGATAAATGAGAATTAGATACCAAAGTTAAACGTGCCCATCAAACAGATACTCAGCTCCCAAAAGCCTCCTAAAGCCTCCCACCCAGCTGACTTCAAATGGCTGCAGCTGCTCTGCTCCCAAAACCGCAGACGATCCGTGTCAGGGACTAAGAAGTTTCACACGAGTGCCGGAGCCAGGGTATATATGTAGAACAACGCCGGAGCCGGGAGGCGGGAGCGACTCGAGCTCAGGCTCCTGTGAGTCTCGCGACTCAACCGCGCCGGGAGTCTGAACCGTCCAACGCTCGACGAACTGAGCTTCGCGACCAACTTTACGAGATTGAATTAAAAGATGATCAGACATACATGGTACTGGTAGGCCCAAGAGGAGTGAAGCGAAACATTGATTAGGGGCTTGTGCAAGGTTGGAAATTCGACAACGCTAATGATATCGCAATTGCACTCGTTGAGCTGCGTTGAGCAAACAACGCAAAATTTATCAACTTTACAAGTGCATACAACTCTCAAGCCAGCCAAAACACTTGGAAAAAAGATAAACTTGCAGCTGCAGGTTTGACGATACATAGGCACGTATAAGCTACATTCCAAGTTTAATCATAATCTGACAAATCGTTCCTAAATCAAAATCCTAGATACAAAAACAATACATAACCGCGACTGAAACCGCATATGATGTCTGCGCTGGTTTGTACTCACATAATACGTCATTGTACAATTTATGATGTAGGTAAATACATCTTACCGGTCTCACCGGTCTTGATCGTACCCGAATATCAACCGCACAGAGCAAGGCCCTAAAACATACACAGAGCACAGAGTACCAATCAGTACCAATGCTTTCAGGACAAACAAAAACAGATTACGGTGGCCTTGAGCAAGATTCTTACAGATTGAGATAGCCTTGAGAGAAACGAGAGAAACATACACAGCAGCCATTACCGCCATTACCAAGGTCACGAAAATGTTTACAAGTTATATTAACAGCTGACTTTATTTTTCTTCCTCATTAGGGGACCTCGCCAATTGTGACAAACACTTCGTTCAATCACTAAAATGACAGGTGGGTGACAAACTACTCACCTTGTACTAACACAATGTCTACCAACTATTATATTTAAAATTCAGTGTGTGTGTATACACCGTTTTTCATAACCGCAGGTTGTTTGAAAAGACAAACACTATTCGTTAGAATTGTGTTTTTCTATTGAAAAACAACCGGAGCGGTCGTTCTCCGGGCTATGTTTTGCAAGTCTGGCAGCGAATCGAGACAAGTTGAGCCTCTCCTAAACGAATCCCTCAATCTTCGTAAAAATTTCAGGGTATGGGCTCCCGCAGGCGATCTACCTGATGGCACCGGTCGCTACTCGCTTAAAACCTCGTGGCACGTGGCACGTGCGATTCCATTTTGCCCATGTTAAGTCAACGGGGTTTTGGACACTTTTTGCGCGATCGCCAATGGCGGGAAAACGAGCCAAGGAAGAGGTGGTTTTCTTCCCAGCATTTTATGGCAAACAGGTTTGGGTACACGCTAGTGTGCGCCGTATACCCCTCAGAACTTCGTAACGTGTCTTTGCACGAGGTCAAAGTTGAATTTTTTTCGCTCCCCATGTTAAGTCAATGGGCGTTTTTGCAGAGACTTTTTCATTCGCTCATTGTACAAAATTATATGATACGATTTTGTTTAAACTTTCAGGACTTGTTGAGAAAAGACCATAGAACATGTTGTTATGCTTTGTTAAGCTGTCAGAATTCGTTTGCTCTTTTGAAGCTCGTTTAAAAATGAAAAATTTTTACATGGAAAGTCAATGGGAGCGTCTTTGCTGCTTAATAACTTTTTACGTTTAAGATATGTTTAAGTCAAAAGTTGATATTTTATACAACTTTTGATGCTCTTTCCAATGATATATAGAACGTTATTGCACGTTGTTCCGTTTTCCTGGTGTTGTCCATCTGAACTTGTCAGTCACGTGACCCATTTGACCTTCGGATCCAATTCTGGTAGTCAATTCTGGCGCTTTTGTTACCATAGCGAAATATGTAACGCCGTGTTCACAGTTTACTGACGACGAAGGTCCTGCTTAATCTGGCCAATGGCGTTCGAGAACTGCGGCCAAGCCCCGCTGATCTTGAACGTGATTGGTCGGCGGGCGTATAGAATCTCCGTCGTCAGGGAGACTGCGAACACGGGGTAAACCAAGGGGTAAACAATCTGTGCGTGGAATGGGGAGTGGTGAATGTGCAAGTTCGATGATAGGCGCTGATGTCGTCGATTTTTATTTATACTTTTATCCTTATTATACATTCTGATCATTTTTTATGTTCAGGAGTTTTCTCTGTTGATTTAGCATCAAAAACGGTGTGTTTACAATCTGTGCGTGGAATGGGGAGTGGTGAATGTGCAAGTTCGATGATAGGCGCTGATGTCGTCGATTTTTATTTATACTTTTATCCTTATTATACATTCTGATCATTTTTTATGTTCAGGAGTTTTCTCTGTTGATTTAGCATCAAAAACGGTGTGTTTAACTGTTATTGCCAAGTGCCATATTTATATTGAAATTGGGGTACAATTCAACATTCACTGGTTTTTCTATGGCCTGTTGTGCATCATATTATTGGAATGGTAATGTGAATATACGTACTCCATACACTGCTACTTTTGGGTATATATAAATGTTTGACCTGATTTTACTTCACTTCACCTTATGTTTTTTTGCAGGAACAGTTATCACACCATTATTGTGCAAAAAATAAGGGTGGTTTAACGCGGTACTCTGCCAGCCACTTTTGGCTTCCATAGATATCAACAAGCCTATACCTCCAACACTACCAGAGGTTGACGCTATCTCCACGGAATGCGCTGGCAGCTGCTGGCAGCGCGCCCATGAAACACAGCCAGGGGTTTCCTCTGTAAAGTCATTGTTGTCTAGGTACATGGGCCTTTACCAATTGTTAACAGCTACAAAAATTGGAATTAAAAATGTTCAGGTATTTTGAGCATCAGCTAAACAGGGAAGAGAATTCGGCTACAGCCCATCTTGCAACGCCTCAATGAAATTTAACGAGAAACTTAAATTGAAGGAGCAGCTAATTAACTGAGGCAAAGCCCATAAATCCTTGTGGATTTACCTACATACCTAAGGTAAATCCACAAGGCACCTTGAGTTCAAACTATGAAGTGACTCCAAGCGAAATATAGCAGAAATTGGGACTTAAAGGAGCTTAGAAATAATCTGCTTAGTTCATTTGAAATGTATTGTTACCCACTTTCTAACCATGCATATTTTTGTGTCTTGTGAGGTCTCATATAGCAATAAAAATAGAAAAGTTATACAAGAGCAGTGACATGCATAGTTTGCTTGTGTTGTCACAACTTTGTACAATATTTCCAGCTGTATAATATGCAGTTATCAGTCACATTGGGCATCACACATGTATTTTTTTCCTGCAGGAGGGAAGACACAGGAGGGAACAGTATATATAACTAGTGACTCATGTTTTTGCTTCTATCGCTTCACCCCTGGGGAATCAGTTCCTGTACACCCCTTGAATATAATGGTCACCAAGGGGTGCTGTCCTGACATGTTCACTTTCTGTTGAGAAGGTTAGAACAAACACCATGTGTGTCATTTAGTTGCATATATAATACTTCAATGTTAAGTATGCATAAAGTCTGAAGTCTGTAGCCACTCTTAATCCTAGGTTGTCGTGACGTTAATTTAGCCTGGGTGGATATTTTGCTGTGCTAAAAGCACGGACTCCGCTACGCCCCAGTACGGCGGCTGGGGCGCCTCCCCTGGAAGAAAACGGCGCCGGGGAGGGGGACGGACACTGTTACACTTGCGGTTTTTTGTGTGAGGTAGCGTATAGTGTATACCCTTCTTACAAGTATTTATTATGGACAATGCATGCGGGTGACCTCCACTGCACGTGACACGTGTAAAACGGAGAGGTGTCACTTTTGTTGTAATGACAATAGCACAGTACAACTTGATTGTTATGACAATAACTACATTATAAAAAGGATGTAGGCACCCACTGGGCAATGTGTTTAAATGTGTCACGGTTGGGGTGCAACTGCCAACTGCACGTGCACATGTGCAAGGTGACGCTTCCAGATCTCAAGAACGGCTGGGCCGATTGTGCTCAGATTTGGCACATCGCTAGAGACCGGTTAGTAGGGTGCCGTGCGCAAGTGGGAACTGAGAATGTCTAAAATAGAGATGTTGGAGCTGGAAGGAAATGCAATCAAACTGTCAATCATACAGTGATACTGTTTTTTTTTTTACAGGAGACAGATTGAAGTGCAGCCAACACTGCATGGTGCTTCTCGCAAGAGCTGACCCATTGCTGTTTTTCAACTCTTCTGGAAAAGGTAATATTGGCAGACACTTACATTGTTTCACAATCTACGTTCTGGTATGGGTCTCCCCTCCGCGGACCATCTGTAGGGACCATCAACCGCTGGGACACGACCCAGCGGTTGTAGTGGTCTACTATCTACTATTTATAAATCTTAAAAAGTCCGCCGTCGGGTTACGCTTAAAAAGGCTTAATGCGGCGCCGTCGATTGATGCACGAGGGTGAAATTTTCACGGCTCGTGGGTCGCGTCATTCAACAGGTCGTATTAAATTTTGGGCACGATGCGGCCGGGGGTGCGCCCGTGGCGCGTGCTCATATGCGCCATAGGGTTAGCATTAGAATCGGCAAAAACAGGCTATTGCTCGGAAACGGTAAGGGCTACGGGGGTGAAATTTTCACGCCAAGTCGAGCGCGTGCACTCATTTGTCGTATTAAATTTTGGGCACGATGTGGCCGGGGGTGCGCCCGTGACGTGTGCTCATGTGCGCCATAGACTTGCATTAGAATCGGCAAAAACAGGCTGCGGCGGCGTGATGCCCCAAAACGGATATTGCGGCGCCGTCGATTGACGCACGAGGGTGAAATTTTCACGACTCGTGGGTCATGTAATTCAACAGGTCGTATTACATTTTGGGCACGATTCGGCCGGGGGTGCGCCCGTGGCGCGTGCTCATGTGCGCCATAGGGTTAACATTAAAAACGGCAAAAACAGGCTATTGCTCGGAAACGGTAAGGGCTACGGGGGTGAAATTTTCACGCCAAGTCGAGGGCGTGCACTCATTTGTCGTATTAAATTTTGGGCACGATGCGGCCGGGGGTGCGCCCGTGACGTGTGCTCATGTGCGCCATAGAGTTAGCATTAGAATCGGCAAAAACAGGCTGCGGCGGCGTGACGCCCAAAAACGGATATTGCGGCACCGTCGATTGACGCACGAGGGTGAAATTTTCACGACTCGTGGGTCATGTAATTCAAAAGGTCGTATTAGATTTTGGGCACGATTCGGCCGGGGGTGCGCCCGTGGCGCGTGCTCATGTGCGTCATAGGGTTAACATTAAAAACGGCAAAAACAGGCTATTGCTCCAGATGGTCCGACCACTACAACCCTATATGATGCACTCTTGGCTGCATCCCCACCCCACCATTTCCCCTTACAGTATGAAGTATGAAAAACAGTGATTTTTTACTGGAGCTGCAAAGTGTGCCTTTGAACCACCTTATGATATACTAGTATCTAAAGTATTTGTCCATCAGGATCAGTTATCTAATGGCAGTAGACTGTTGTCTTCACATACTTCATATCTATTTTGGCTACTGCATTGTGTTCTGTAAAAAAATATGGAAAACGTTTTGGATGTAGTTTTTAGTAGAATGCTTCTTTACAGATCCCGAAAGAAGATAACTGCTTGTTTTCTTCACCGCCACCAGTCTACCTGCTCTCTGCACACTCGGCAGAGCGCGGCAGGGCACCCCACGGAGCTGCACTAGTCACATCCGGGCCCCACGCCGGTCGACGGCCGATGCGATGGAGGCACTACTCCGAGCTGGACTGGTGGCCGGCTCGGAGCTGGTGGATGTCGACCGCGGAGCGGCGATCTACTCCTTCCACCGGGCCCGGCAGCAGGAGCTCCAGATGTCCTTGTGCCACCCGTCCGGCCAGGCCTCCATCCACCTTGTAGAGGCGGAGCGGGAGACGGTGAAGCTCACGGCTCCGTTGGAACATGGCCGCTGGGAGGCCTGCGGCGCGGACGACGGATGCGGCAGTTGGTCAAGACACGGCAGCCTACTCGAGGTGCTTCTCGCCTGGAGGACGCAGGCGAATCGCGTTATCCGAGCTGTGCCTCGTCATGGTGCGATGAGCCTTAATAGACTAATGCATATTCTTCCTTTGGTTGTAATTCATTTGCTGCTGCCCGCTGGGCTAAGGAGTAACTCTGGGCGCCTACTTTGGGCAGACGCTGGTCCAGTGCCGCCTTTCGTTTGCCGCACTTATCTTTATTTATTCTTTGTTACAATTCCGTCTTTGGTCATTTTTTTTTTTACCATGGGGGGCACTTGAAAGTTTTGTTTTTAAATCTGTGGACATTGAACCTGGAATCGGTTTTTTGTCGGATTTCGGTTTTGTTTTTGCACTGTGGAAATATCTCGTTCAATATTTTTTTTAAGATAGGGCGTGCTAAAACTTTTAGTCTCATTACTCCTCTGTGCATCTAAATTCTAAAGTAATATAATGTGCATCTCAAGTGTTTGGTGCTGTACTGTTATTATTTATGGTTAATCCAGTGCTGTACTGTTATTATTTATGGTTAATCCAGTGCTGATTTATGGTTAATCCAGTTTTTATTCGATTGAATCGTTGTGTGTAATGTGCATGACATCCGCGTACCGCCTGTAGCAGTGTTATATATTTTCATTTATGCTGGAAAATAATAACTTTCTTGTTCATTGGCTTTATTCGATGACAGAGACGTGCCAGATGACTGGGGCTGCGACTTGACTTGGTAGTTGTTAACGTTGCAAACTTCAACCATCAAGCATGATGTGGAAACGTCACATTCCGTTATCAAATCTTCGTACCGTAAATACTGAATAAGATCAATACTAGGCTGGAGCTTGCTAGAAAAACCGTGCACTGACAACGGCGAGTGGTGGACCTGAGTAGCGGCCGGGAGGCAGGAAAGTCAGCCAATTGTCAGATGTTTATTTCTTCACACATCTTTATTCTTTACTTTACACCGTCGTAGACGTAATGCAATTATCGGAGCATGAAGTGGTTTATTGCCCTTATTACACCCTTCCAGTAAGTAGCCAATGCCCATCCATCCACTTTCCGCAGGTGCAGGAGCAAGGGAGAGCGAAATAATTTTTATCGTCACTCACGCCCAACTGCTAGGCGAAAAGCCAGTACTCGCAATGTTTCAATCTTATTTAAGAAAAAAAGCAAATGTTTCGGCTATAAATGCGTCGTGTTCCCTGTGGTAATACTATTAGTTTAACCCGGCACCGCCTGGGCTATTTCCGTACCCACGACAGCCTGGGGGGGGTCGCATCCGACCCCCTCCCCCCTGTGTGTCCGCTGGACCCAGGACACCAGGTGTCTCAACCGCGAAAGGTACGAAAACGTATTTCTTACGGAGAGCGGCATATCGGACGCGCTTCGTTCTTCCGCACAGCGAGCGGCGCTACCAGGGCTCAAGGCAGAGCTGATGACAGCAGTTGCAGAGAAGGTGTCGCAGCAGGTGGCGTCCCATATCAGGCTCATTCCTCGGCTGAAAGGGAAGAGCGTTATCCCATCGGGACGTCGGCCGTCACCTCTGTCAAGGCCGGTGGGCTCTAAAACGCTCGAGCCCTGTGCTGCTCAGTGCCCGCCGCAGCACGTCATTAAGGTTGGCGTGACGTGCGTGGCGGCCAGCACTCTTGGCACAGGAGAGACCGTGGTAGCCCAGTCGATCAGCAGGACGACGGCAGAGCTGGCAGTTGTGCGGTTCACATACCGGTGCCCCGAGTCGCAGCGCCACTGCTACCCGGACGGTTTCGTCCTCCAGGTGGAGTCCCAGACTGGTGACTGGGAGGGCTTGCACCCAGGCGGCGGTTTTTTCTGCCGGCCTAAGGGCCCCTTGCCGGTCACTGAGAACCCCCTGCCGGCTTGGAGAGGGTTCGCGTCAGCAGCTCTAAAGGCCCCACACACGTCTGTAACGGCTCCACACCAGCGTCTATGAGGGCCCACAGGCCACAGCAACGCCTGTAAGGACCCTCACCGGCGCCTCTGAGAGAATCACACTAGCACCTCTGAGCGCCCACACCGGCACCTGCATGACGGCCCCACACCAGTGCCTCTAAAGGCCCCTTTATACCGGCGGCTCTGAGGGCCCTACACCGGTGATTCTGAGGGTGCTACCGATAACCAAAGGCACCACACAAGCCCTTGGTGTCGCTGAGCTTTAATCCCATACCGGCCTTCCGAGGGCGCCACGTCAGTACACTCATTGTTCCACACCCCTCCCTCACACCCGGAGCGGGTAAACTGTGTTATACCTACAGCAACGATTTTTACCACCGTTGTATAACGTTATGTATTTCTCAAAGTTGACTCAAAATGGTCCAGTATAAAATCTGGCCTGCCAAACTTATGGCCAAGGTCAGGCCCAAACCAAAGCGGGATGACAATAGCAGATGTTGTCAAATCGATATACTGCATCAGCAGAAACCATTCAGATGGCAAGGAAAATGCCGTGTGTTGATGTTTAGATGTATAAGAGAAACAAGAAGGAAATAAGTCCGGAAAAAGGAGAAAAGATCCTTTCTCGCTGCCTCAATGTTGAGGGGGCGCCGCCCCCTCGGCTCTCAAGTTGGGGGGGCAAGCGCCCCCGCTGCCCCCCCTGTTCCCGGGTCTATGGTATTGTATAAATTGTATTATACCTATAATGGGTATGAAAAATTTTCTAGCCTGAATCTTCAATGCAAAGCAATGTCAAGAGTATTACATAAATAAGAGTTTTACGCTTAGGCCAAAACTTTTGTTTTTTGCTGATTTCTGTTTATTAAATAAAATCAATTTTTTTTTTAAAAATATATGTTAACATATTCAGCTACATTTTGTCTAAAAATTGTTTAAAGATATCAATAAACCACGATGGCACAACTCAAACACCAAGCAGAAACTGTCGGGAATCTTGTCGGGACTTGGTCGGGACCCTTGACGGATCCGGCTGTTGATTGAGGTGTCCAGAGGTGTCAGTTGTGATAGAAGTGATCAGATATTATTTCGAAAAATTCGTCATAAATTGTTGCTGTCTAATTTCATTGAAGCTTGTGAGTTTTCTGTGGTTTGCGAGAAGACTTGAAGACACGGTGAGTTTGACGCTGCCCTGCCACGCTCGACCATCTTCGTCGGCTCGACTAACTTGTTTAGCGTCTGTTAACTTTTTCGAAAGGTAGTTAGGCAAGAAACATGAATTTCGCAAAAATCGTCCTTATTGATAGTCAAATGCAGGTCACTCTGTTTTGCAACAAATGACGCCGAGGATAACAGATTCTGGTTATATGCTCCGAAAAATGCGCATCTGAGACAAACGCGAGTTGTTTACAGCTTTGATTCACGTTGCTAGGTGGTTGCTATGGAGCTATGGATACTTCCTTGCAGAGTAATTTGCATTTTGGTGTCTTATGTGATATCGACATATGCCACCCCCAAATAGCTCAATTAATGCTGATAACAGTCCGGCGCACTGTGGTATCTCCGATTCATTTATGGAGACATTTCTTTTATTGGAAATGTTTCCAATTTTGACTACTCTTCTGTTCCAAAAATGAAGACGCTTGTTCCATAAATAGAAACGCTAACATTTCCGCACAAATTTTCTTGCCAAGGGTGGCTGGATTTGATGTAGGTATAACCACTGTTTTGCGTAAAACAAGCACGGATACACCAAAAGCACTTGTCTTCTTGCATGGAAAGCTGTCGTATGCATTCAAAGTCACCACCTAAAAATGCTCCTGAATCGTATCCATTTATGGAGACTTAGTTTCCAAAAATGGAAACGCCGACGTTCCAAAAATAGAAACGCTGAAGTTCAAATGTGTGCAAATTTAGCTTAAAGGAACTATCCCACCTTCTAAAATGTTGTTAAAACCAGTTAAATTGTGGTCGACTTTATAGATTGGATGATACGTGACTTCACAGCCCAAAATTACCTCCTTCCCCAGGCCACATTACTGTCATAAAGCTGATTCTTTTTACTCTGTAGGCACTACAACAAAGTTCAGACCAAGTTTTAAGCGATTTTTCAACGAACAAACCCATTTAAATCAGAATGACTAAACGAGGTGACGTCAAACTAGCGGTCGCTCCATGTTGAAGATAGGGCCTGGCGCAAGGCCCATTTTCAAATTAAGGGAACAAATTTCTTCAACACCAAGAGGCCGCGGGGGTTGCAACCTAGATAGATAGTGGTTTCTGAACCTCGCCGCAAACTTGGCTATCTCAACTCAAACCCCATGTTAAAGGTGGGATAGTCCCTTTAAATGTGTTTTTTAAAATTCACATGCAACTAAAAATTGATGTTTTGGGACTGGTTTAGCATCTCTGCTCTCGGCAGTTACCTTGGACGTCGGGTTTGATACTAATATGTTACGCGCCGCAACTTAGCACATTCAAAAGTCAACTAAAACTAAGATTTCCTAGAAACTACTGGACAAATGTGGTCCAAAGTGGGCAGTACATAAAGTGTAGATATCATTTCAATATATAAAATTGATATCAATGTTACACATGAACTAGAATGAATAAATTCATCGTCAGAATACGACGGTATTTGGTGTGACGACGGTGCAGACCTTATTTTATTAGAAAACTTGTGAATTTTTTTATCACGTCAACATGTTATAAGCATCGCCTCGTTTGTCGACTTTCGGTTTCTGATCGGAAATTCGGAGAAGAGGAATATAAACTAGAATGCTGGCTGTCGATTGGTGGCATCCTGCGCATGCCAAATTGCAGCAATCAATGCCCAGTTTGCTTAAAAGGTAGCGATGCACGCAGCGTCTCCATTAATGGAACAGACCGTTTCTATTTTTGGAAACGGCGTATCCATTTTTGGAACATTGTTCCAAAAATGGAAGCGTTTCCATAAGTGGATCGGAAATACTACAGTGTGCCCGACTGATAATATTGTTGATTTGTTGAAGAGGATGCTGAAATGTATGAATAGAGCTCTGCAATCCTTGTTTTAACACGCGCACTGCAGCGGGTCTGAGCCGAACACGAACTGCAGGGGGGGGGGGGGGGGTTGAAAACAACCCCCCCTGAGATCTCGAAAACGGCGCAACGTAGCGACAAGCGGTAAACGGCGTTGGATAGGTTGAGATGAGATCTACAAGAAATACAAAGATCATTTTTGGGTCAGGTCAAAAACGAGGTCACCAGAGGTCACCGAAGACAAAATGTTACGATTTTCACAACAGGAATTTCGCGGTAGTTTTTCTTGAATAACTTGTCTTGCACACAAGACAGAGGATCGATTCGAACGCCATCGTTCTTAGCTCGTCAAGGCGCATCGAATGATATATAATATGACCTCGAAAGGTCAAGTTGAAAATTTGACCTCAGGTCAAGGTCATGACCTGACCGAAATAGGTCATGTTGCATATCATTCGATCCGCATTGACGAGAAAAACACGTTAAACGTCGAACGGAGTCTCTATCTCTATTCAATCTCAAGTTATTGAAGAAAAACCGCTGGTGACCTCAGGTGACCTAAGATGACCTGGAGATCACCTTCCAAAGGTCATAAGTGATATGTTTCGGTGAAATCACCAACAGGGACCTGTAATACTATGATCCTGAGCGTATTGAAGTCATAGGATGGCATTCAGAGTAAGTTGAAATTTCTCCCATTGACTTATAATGGGCCGGTCGCAAAAATGACCTGACCTTAGGTCATCGA